TCTTTATATTCCCAGCCAATATCAGTGATTTGTTTTTTCTATCTTTGTTAGCTATTGAGATAGCTAAAATTAAAATTAGAGTCACTCAGTACCACAAGCAGAGCATCGCGGTGACCAAATACGAATACCCCGTTTTGTAATAACTTCTTTTTTTCCCTTTTTTCTTTCTTCTCTTTCCAAGGCGATATTAGTGACTGCAGAACTCCCAGCCTTGTTTAATGTCTTTTGTTCTAGTTATCAACTATTTGTTCAAATCATTTAGTCATTTCCATATTTCACGTGTATTTATTTACAATGCAGTATAAATATTAGCGGAAACGTGTTGATTGAATTCTCCCCTATTCTCTTATTTTCTGTTGATCGTCTAAAACGTTTAATCACGGCTTGAATCATTCGAAAATTCATACAGCTCAACAATTTCGAAACATAAATGAGCAATTTATGTATTTTTATTATTATTATTATTATTATTGTTATCATTTATTAGTTTACAAACACAATATACATGAAATGAAACCAAAATAACAAGAGGAAAATAGTAATATTACAGCACAATATGATAATAAACGATGTAAATAGTGTTCATGATTTTTTTTCCTTGTTGGTCAGTACTATAATGCTTACCGTATTGTGCATATGTAGCAAGTGCAGCGTTAGTAGAGCTGCCTTAATTTTTGTTCGAAATTTTAAAACAAAAAGAAAAAAAACTGGACATTTACAAACTGTATTGTTTTAGCCGTGTCAAGTAAACGATGTAAGTAATCTTACTGTTCCATTTATATTACATAGCTAGCTTCTATATATAAAATCTATTCAATGTAGATCATTTTCTCCAGCAAGATATTGAGTACTTGGGTCAGAAATTCAAAGAATAACTAACTTGACACGGTGCAAGCGACTGTAAAACGGCCTTAGACGCCGGACGTTCGAAACCCCGGAGGTGGGCGNGGGGGGGGGGGGGGGGGGGGGGGAAACTCCTATATCAAAAGGTCGGGGATGCTCGTCTAACTTAGGGTGTTGATGACGAAACGTCACCATTTTAGCGGTCGAAGTATCCTTTAGGGTGCACTCGAAGAGATATCTATAAAAGAAACGCTCTCATTTAATATTTGTTGCTAGGCTTGATCTCTCGAGTACGCGAGTCGTATCTTGCGTAGTGGGTGCAGGATCCTTTCTTCAACAGTGGTTAGTAATCGAACCTATGTCGTTTTAAGTAGCGTCTTTTAGCGGTCGAATGGAGCTCGAGCAACGCCCACATTAGTCTCCTTAAGGAGTTAAATTCAAATTTTCTGACAAGCATCCCTGACCTTTTCATACAGCGGAAGTTCCCCTACCCGCCTAACCCAAC